CAAAGTGGCTCAACATCTAACCGATGAGAGGGTGGGGCCAACTGCCAAGTTTGCCAGAGAGACTTCTCTTAATCCTTTCCCTCCCAGATCTTCTTGCATGCAGAGTTACAATATCCAACAACATCAAGATTGTTCTTTTGTAGTGTTTTATGAAAGCACATGTGCACATCAGTAATTGTGAAGGGCAAAAAAGATGCATATGAAACAGAGGAATTGAAGCCTGCAACAAAACTGGGTGGGGGTGGGGGGTGAGAGGTATGGCAACTTGGCAAGCCCTGTCCTTGTCTGCATTCTTTTTTCCTTGATGGGTTTGAGCATCAGATGACACAATGTCCATTTTGCATTCCATCATCCCAGCAGGTGAGAACTGCCACCAGCTGGGCCATTTGAATGGTGGCTCCCACATTATGGAATGGCCAAGTATCTTGGCCTCCAGAAGGCGTTGTGAATCTGAATTGTTTAGAGAGGTTTTGGTGGTGGTGGTGAGTTGAACTGAGGCTTTTTGTCTACCTGTCTGTTGTATTGTTTTTTAAAAATTGAACACATGGTTCTGCCTTACGCTGAATCAGACCCTTCGTCGATCAAGGTCAGTATTGTCTACTCCGCTTGGCACTGGCTCCTCAGGGTCTCAGGCTGAGGTGTTTCACATCACCCAGTGTCTGGTCCTTTTAACTGGAAATTCCAGGGATTGAACCTGGGTCCAATGCTCCCTCTAAGCTGTGGAGTCTTGTGAGCAAAAATTCTACTTTGTGAGCTACCAGCATTAAAGTTGTGAGCAAGCGATTCAGCTACTGCATCAATTAGTTTGCTCTGGAGCCATCCTTCCTCAGCCAAGACAAAAATGTGTGAGCCGGAGGCTAAAAAACTGTGAGCTAGCTCGCACTGACTCGGCTTCGCGGGAACACTAACTGGGACCTTCTGCGTGCAAAGTAGATGCTCTACCACTGAGCAGAGCCAAGCAGATGCTCAACCACTCCCTAGAATGTTTTAATCTGTGGGCCACTTTGAGTTCCTTTTGGGGGGAGCATAGAAATATGGTAAAGAAATACATTTAAATACACATGCTCATTTGTCTTCTGCCTATATTATAAGGTTCTTTTTAAATGAAGTGGTCCTCTGCTGTACAGTTGCAGAGCTCAGACACTCATGCAGTGTTTGGGTTGTGTGTTTTTCTTTCTTTTTTGCAAAGTTACAAAAAGCTGCAAAGTTACTTCCCTCTCTCGCCATGTTGCAAACCCAGGGCTATTTTTGGGCAGGAACGCACAGGAACAGAGTTCCGGCTGGCTCCCAAGTTGGCCCAGGAACTCATTAGCATAATAGGCCACACCCAACAGCAGAAACTCATTAGGATTGGCTACATTAGGGGTGTGTGGCCTAACATGCAAAGGAGTTCCTGCTACAAAAAAAAGGCCCTGGGTTTTGACAACAAACAAGGTAAACAGAATAAGAAGCAAAAGGTGGGTGTGGCTGGATGACCACACTATTATGCTAATGAGTTCCTGCTGGGATTTTTCTACAAAAAAAGCCCTGTGCAAACCTTTAGTTTTTGTTTTTCTTTCTTGGAACAGAGCAATGGAAGACTAGATTCCCCAACATGCTGAGATTTGCCCACATTTAGGCAACCCCCTCCATAGTTTGATTTTATTTTCTGGCCTGAATATCAGTTTGGGGGGGGGGGCAGAGATGAGGAAACAAAGAAAGGATGGAAAGTATTGGGCCCAGGAACAGAACAGACGGATAAGATGGTATTTGTGGGAAGTGATTGGAAGGGGTGCAGAGGAAGAATGCCTTCTTCCAGGTGTTTGGGCTTCTGACTTTCTACTGGGAATTGTTCTCACAAGAAGAGTCCCGCTAGCCCAGCATCCCATTTCCAAAACCAGCCAGACAGATGTGTTGCAGAAGCCCACAAGCAGGGCACGAAGGCATGTGGCTTCTCCTGCTGTTCCTTTCCCCCGAAACTGACATTCAGAGGCAAACTACCTCTGAACATGGAGGTTCCATTTAAGCATTATGGCTAACAGCACCTGGCAGTTGTGTCCTCCATGAATTGTCTAATCCCCTTTTCTAACTATCTGTGACGGCGGTTGTCACCAGTGTTCCCTCTAAGCTGAGTTATTGTGAGCTAGCTCACGGTTTTTTAGCCTCTGGCTCACACATTTTTGTGTTAGCTCAGGAAGGGATGGCTCGAGAGCACCCTAATTTATGCAGCAGCCAAATCGCTCGCTCACAACTTTAATGCTAGTAGCTCACAAAGAGGAATTTTTTTGCTCACAAGACTCCACAGCTTAGAGGGAACATTGGTTGTAACCATATCCTGTGCTAGAGGATTCCATAAATGAATCGTGTGTTGTGTGAGGTATTTCCAGGTGTGCATCCTGAATCTACAGCCTGTCGATTTCATTCGGTGTATATAAGTTCTAATGTTATTGGAAAGAGGGAACTATTTCTATCTACTTACTGCACATGCCTAATTTTACATCATGCTCCCCCACCTTTGTCTAAACTAGTTTCTCAGTAATCATAACTTGGAGAAATGTTCCTTCTCCCCCACAACAGAAAGCTCTCTCCCAATTTTGCTGTGCAATATTTATTAATAAACATTTTTATTCCGACTTCCCTCCAAGGAATTCAAGACACCATATGTTATATTCCTTTTGTATTTCACAAGAATCCTGTAATGTAGGTTTGACCCAAGATCACCCTGCGAGCTTAATGGTAGTGGGGATTTGGAATTATTTCTTCTAGTTCCTGAGCCAGTTCTAATGGCTGCAATATGAACTAGCCAAATATTTTTTGTTTACATTTCCATGTTTCTAAAGCACCAAGAGATAAACTACACAGACCATTAAATGAAGAACTCTGGATCTGCTCTTTGCACACAACACTTTAAAGTTTATTAGAATTGTGTGTAGAAGTTAAGAATTTGTTGCAAAGAGAACAGACTGGCAAACTAAGACAATGAAGCTAAAATTGATAATGGCCTTCCCGGCAGTCCCTTCCCAAAGCAGCTTCTCGAGCAAACCAAGCAATCTGTTAGTTGGCTTCTGAAACTTCACCTGTTGCTGGGAAAAACACACACTCGGATTTTACAGAACGCCTTCTGGAGCTTGAGGAAAGGGAGACGTACAGAGAGGAACTCAGCCCGAAAGATCAATATTGACCAAAGATGCCAACAAGATTCAAAGTTGCAAACAAGATTCAAATTTCATCCCTAAGGACTGATGATTTTTTGATGTTCTGGAGATACTTTGAAAAGATCTATAGACCAAATGAAAGGAGATCAAAGTTTTGCCGTAAAAACAATCATGTGGTGGTGGTTTTACTATATCATTTCTCCTTTGCCGAGGGCTTAACAATCGCAGGGGTCATTTTGTAGAAAAAGAGCTAGGGGGGCGGATTAGCATAACTCATTAGCATATGCCACATCCCCTGACATCACCGGAAGTGTGTCATAAGGCCACACACCCCGCCCCCAACGGTCCCAGACGCCGCCGCCGGCCTTGCAGCTCCACTGCCGAGTCCCATGAGGGGCCCGGCGGTGGACCTGCAAGGCCGGCGGGAGTGCAAGGAAGCCCCGCGAAGGCCCTCCCTGGCCCCAGGCAGGCAGGGGTGGGGAGAGGCAGGGAGGAAGCAACTTACCCTCCCTCTTCTCCTGCCTCCTCCTGGCTGAATGAGGGCCGGAAGCGGGGCAGCCGGAAGCAGGGGGCGGGGCTTCGTCATGTGCCCTGCCCCCCGCGATCCCCCCCGAAATGACCTCTGACAATCAGTACACCTTTGCAACAGTTCTGCTAGAGTGAGGTCACTTTTATGCCTGTTTTACGATGAGCCTCCTTAGAAAAACAGCAGCGGGGCAAAGCTGAGCTAGTTCACAAGGGCACGCCCAGCGCTTGAGGACCTTTGTTTTCTGCGCACTGCTTGGCTCGCAGCCGAATGCACAAGCCGACTGTGTTAAAAACTGCTGAGTTTCAGGTTATGTCGGCTGAGCCTCGGGATGGCTGAGTTCATATATGCAGGCAGGATCCAAGCATGCACGGGGGTCCGTGGGCGGAGATAAATGGGCCTACTTTACTGGGACTAGAAACTGGGGAAACCTAAGCTGCGAGCCCATTGACATTGTTAGGACTACTACTTATTGTTGGGTCTGCATATTAAGACCCAGTCTCCAGGTGATTTCCCTGGAGACTTACAGAGATCCGTTTCCCTGGAGAACATGGCAGCTTTGGGGGATGGCCTCTGTGGAATTTTGCCCCCTAGGCGAGGATCCCTTCTGGCGCCCCCCCCCCCCGTGCGCCCACCATTTTTCAAAAATAAATGCATTTTAGGAAGAATGAAAAACACCAATAATCAAGAAACTCCCAGAGTACGGGGCCGGGTGCAGTTTGGTGCCCCTAAGGGCCAGCCCGCTCTAGGCGATCGCCTAGTTCGCCTAGTGAGTGAGCCGGCCCTGATTACACCATTGTTGAGTCTACTTATTAAGCGAGGAGTCCAGCGGCACCTTAAAGGCCAACAAAATGTCATCCGACATGAGCTTTCCAGAGTCACAGATAGAATAAATGTTGTTAGTCTTTAAGGTGGATCCCTGTTTGATTTTGCTGCAGTAGACTAACACGGCTAATCTGAGTCTGCTGACGTCAATACAGAAATGAAGTTTCCCCCTGTTAGGGTTGCCAGTCTCCAGGTGGTAGATGGAGATTTCCCAGAATTACAGCTGGTCTCCAGGTTACAAAGATCAGTTTCCTGGGACAAAATGCAGCTTTGGAGGATGGGGGCTCTTTTTGCAGCAGGAACTCCTTTGCATATTAGGCGACACACCCCTAATGTAGCCAATCCTCCAAGAGCTTACAGTAGCCCCTGTAAGAAGAGCTCTGTAAGCTCTTGGAGGATTGGCTACATTAGGGGTGTGTCGTCTAGTATGCAAAGGAGTTCCTGCTACAAAAAGAGCCCGGCCTCTATGGCATTATACCCCACTGAGGTCCCGTCCTTCCCCAAACCCCGCCTTCCCCAGGCTCCACCCCCAAAATCTCCAGGAATGTCCCAATTCTCAGCTGGCAACCCTACTCTGCATGATTCTTGAGTGTGCATGTACTGGGTGGGCTTGGGCTGTGATAAAAGTTGGTGCCAGGCCCAGAGGAAGGATGCTGGAGCCCAGCACGCCAATCACCCCTCGCTGCTTCCGATCATCATGTGCCAAACATGCACAGGAACTGCCCCCCACTGAATGCAGTAAACTGCCCAGTGGCGTTGAGTTTGGAGGTCGGGGAGGGGGGGGGGCTGTTCTGAGCTCTCCTGCAGACTGGCCAGCACTCCATGTTCCTATCAGGGGCTGCAGGCCAAAACTGACATTGCAGACCCAGGCCCTGTCAAAGAGATGAAGGAGAAAAGGTCCTAACATACCTGCTTCAGAGTCCAGTCACCAGCCAAAATATGCTATCTATACTGCATAAACATACGATATATCTTTTTTCCCTGGCAGGGAGAAAAGCAGCTTGGGAGAGTGATTTTGACAGGGAAAATAGCCCAAGGGAATAGAATGAAGCACCCACCCCCCCATACTGTCGCTCCGATCTGACCCAGAGCTCCACTGCAGCGATGCTAAGGCAAAATGAAAAACGCAAAGGAGGCGCTCCCCAGGGATCTCCTGCTGCACCTGGTTTCTCAGAATTGCCGGGCACCTATAGAGTTCCCCGAAGACAAATGATTGGCTCGGCACCTTAGGATTTGAGCAATTTCTTTGGTACGTGCTCCCATTCTGTTGGTTTGCGCTAAGATTGGCCCTTATTCAATAAACTAGTGGATGTGAATCCGTTTCCCTGGGGGAAAGGTGGCAAAAGATGAATCTTGAGAAGAGAACAAATGCTGGTAAGGCACTGGGAATATCCTGGCTCGTGGTGGGGGCTGCGGGCAGGCTTCTCTCTCTCTGGCTGCCTCTTCTGATCAGGAGATCCTAGGAGAAAATTGGAGAAGGAATGGATGAGCTGATCTAAAGATGCACAAGCCAGAAGCTACGGCACAAGCTGGAAGAACAGCGGACGGGGCATCACAGACTGGCGGTAATATACCCCATGCAGGGGTACCTGCAGCATGCTACAAAACCCATCTGCCAGTGTCAGGTGGCAAACAACAAATATATACACCGCAAAAACCTTATTTATAAAGTGTTTTGTGTATTATTCATAATCTTCTAAAACAGGTATATATTCATTCCGTGCAATATCAACAATAATAATCAGTTTGTACAATCTAATAACTACCAGTCCTTAAAGTGTTCTATATGTTCCATCTTATAAAGTGCATTGTGTATTATTCATAATCTTCTAAAACAGGTATATATTCATTCCGTGCAATATCAACAATAATAATCAGTTTGTACAATCTAATAACTACCAGTCCTTTTTACACAAATTGAAAATATACCTGTTTTATTTATTTATTTTTTAAAACGTTTTATTTATGTAATTTTCCAGTATATATTATTCTTACATTGTATATTTCATCATACTTTGGAGTCTTTCTTATATACATTCTCCAACCAAGTGTATAACAGTTTCCATCTCTTATCAAAAACCTCTCTACTTTTACCTTGTAATATCATACTTAATCTATCCATCTCAGCGATTGATAATATCTTTTCTATTATTTCTGTTTTTGAAGGTATTTCATCTGTTTTCCATTTACTGGCTAATAGCATTCTTGCTGCAGTAAAAAAGTAAACTATAAAGTATTTCCTTGTCCTATTATATGAGATAGGTAACATATTTAATAAAGCAATTTCTGGTGTGAATATTATCTGAGTCCCCATTATTTCATTTAACATACTATAGACTTTTTTCCAATATTTTTGTATTATATCACAATTCCACCACATATGTATATATGTTCCTACGTTTCTTTTACATTTCCAGCAGTTTCTATTCATATTTGCATAACATTTTGCTAGCTTCTCAGGAGTCCAATGCCATCTGTAAGAATATATACCTGTTTTAGAATATTATGAAAATAATACACAATGCATTTTATAAGATGGAACATATAGAACACTTTAGCTTATAAATAAGGTTTTTGCAGTGTATATATTTGTTGTTCGACTCTTCTAACACTGCAGCTCGAGTTTCCACAGTGTCAGGTGGCAGCCAAGGAAGGGGAAATGCCTTGCCCATTTTAGCTGATGCCATGGAGCAGCAACACAGGAGAGACAGAGAGGGACTAACTCCACTTGGACAGAACAAGATGGAGCATCACAGCTATTCTGTGCCTCCATCCTGCTGTTGTTATATTACTACTCAGAATTCTTAGGCTGCTTTGGAGTGTCCAAAGCACTCCGTACCCATTATGTCAGTAATCCATATAATCACACTGTAGGGCAGGCAGGTACTATTATTTACCTATTGCAAAAAGTGAGACTGAAAACTCACAAAAAGACCCAGAGAGCAACTGGCAAATGATACTGTCCATCAGGGCTTTTTTTGTAGAAAAAGCTCACCAGGAACTCATTAGCATAATAGGCCACACCCAACAGCAGGAACTCATTAGCATATTAGGCCACACCCCTGACATCACAGCTCATTAGCATATTAGGCAGCACCCCCAATGTTACCAGAAGTGTGGTCATCCAGCCACACGCACCTTTTGCTTCTTATTCTGTTTACCTTGTTTGTTGTCAAAACCCAGGGCTTTTTTTGTAGCAGGAACTTCTTTGCATGTTAGGCCACACACCCCTAATGTAGCCAATCCTAATGAGTTTCTGCTGTTGGGTGTGGCCTATTATGCTAACGAGTTCCTGCTGGGCGTGGCCAACTCAGGAGCCAGCCGGAACGCCGTTCCTGTGCGTTCCTGCCCAAAAATAGCCCTGCTGTCCACAAAGGAAAGAAAAGCCGGTGCAGTTAAGAAGCCAGGCTGCAGCAAAAACCTGGCGTGGAAAAGCCCCGGGTGATGGATCTTCCAGTGCCTCTGATTTGGCCTCTAGGCTACTCCCATGTATTTTCCCTGTGCCTGCCCATGCCTACCCAAGAGCTGGCCCCACTTACTTAGAAGAGCTTCTCATAGCACTTGTCACAGTGGACAATGTCGCGGTGAATGAAGATTTTGTCTAGCAGGTCTCCCATTGGTTTGTGGCAAATCCCACACTACGGACAGAGAAAAAGAGACAAGCCGCAATTGAGGCAGAATTAAGACACACTGATGTTCTCCAGGGTGGTTGCAACAGCTGCCCTCCTCTTTTTGTGTATGCGTGGTTTGGGGAGAGAGGTGCTTCACAAGTGTTGGGGACTGGGAAGCAGTAGTGTACCCACAGAGTGCATTCTTTCGTGTGATGTACTGGTTAGAGTGTTGGACTGGGACCTGGAAGACCCTGTTCAAATCTCCTCTTAGCTATGTCACTGGGTTTCATTGGACCAGCTACTGTAATGTAACATAACCTACCTCACAAGACTGTTGTGAGGATAAAGGAGAGAAAAGCTACGTAAGGCACCTTGAGCCCCTTGGAGGGAGGGAAAGATAAAAATGTGATGAACAGACATGTATAAAGCAATTCTCAGAGAATATGTCCCTTCTTTGTTTCTTCTTTGTTTTCTCATGTTGTTGGGAGCCTTTTCGTTTCACCCATTTCCCTCTATGTGTTGCTTTCTGCACTATTTGTATGTCATATGCAACTGCCAGGAAAATAATAATAGAAATTGCAAGCACTAAGGGAGAAAAATCAACAAGAGGCGAACAGAAAATTTAAACGAGCCAAACTCCTGTTTCTGTACAGTTTGCCTTCAAGAGTAACTAACATGGCTTAAAAGGGTGTGTGCGTGTCTAAATTTACACAACTTTACATATAATTCCAGTGAAATAAAACAGAAATCCAGCGCTGCCTTTAAAACTCATCAGGTCCATAGGCTGTGTATACCCTTAGCAGTTATTTATACTTAGCTTTACTTAGTTACACAAAGTACATTTTATCTCTAGGATCTGGAGATCCATTCATTTCTCTTGTTACCTGGGTTGTAAATTCTTCACTTTTAAAAAAGGAACCAAAATTTAGTTCTGTGCCAAGGAAAGCAACACTTTGCACATCAAATTATGCACACTTGCATCTATTTATTTGGTTCTGCACAGTTTTGTCATCTAATGACCACAGTGGGAAGAACGCATAGCTACGCTGATTACTGAAGCCTCTTCTCTTCACCTCCACAACTACAAGGTTGCTATTTTTAAAAAATAGAAAGATGAGGTTCTTTGGATGCCGAATTCTGTGCTTGCATGTTTTCAAATTTAGCTTAGCAGTCATACAGCTGAAAAGCTGTCTTTTAAAAAATGGCTGCAATGCCAAATTCTGTGCGCCTGTACCAAGTTCCATTCTTCCTCTATCAGATCTTAGATTTTCCTGCTGGAGAGGGTGAGTTTGGTTCCTGACTCACCTCCCTTCCTAACTGTGCTTCACACTACCATTCTGCATGGATGACTTTTAGAAAAAGGGGGCCCTTACCCGGAAGCAGAAGTCGTGGCAGCAGATATTCAGTTTCTCGATCTTTATCTTAGCACAGTTGCGGATCTCGCGGCCGCAGTAAGTGCAGAGGTCTTCAGTGAGCCTGACGAGGAGAAGGAGGAGGTGAGGAGTCAAGGGACCACAAGGAAGTTCCTTCATCCTTGCCTCAGCAACAGGGTCAGCTCACCACCCAAGAGACCCGAGCAGTAGCTTAGGGCATTACAACTAGAAGAGGATGCCTGCTGCTGACAAGCACCTGGGGCTTGCCTTGCTCCCAGCTGGGACTGGCATGGGAGGCGGTGATTGGTGTGGCCTATGCCCATCATCAGGGCTCTTTTTGTAGAAAAAGCCCAGCAAGAACTCATTAGCATAATAGGCCACACCCAACACCAGAAACTCATTAGCATATTAGGCCACACCCCTGACAGCACAGCACATTAGCATATTAGGCCACACCCCCATGCCACCAGAAGTGTGGTCATCCAGCCACGCCCACCTTTTGCTTCTTATTCTGTTTACCTTGTTTGTTGTCAAAACCCAGGGCTATTTTTGTAGCAGGAACTCCTTTGCATGTTAGGCCACACACCCCTAATGTAGCCAATCCTAATGAGTTTCTGCTCTTGGGTGTGGCCTATTATGCTAATGAGTTCCTGCTGGGCGTGGCCAGCTTGGGAGCCAGCCGGAACTCCATTCCTGTGCGTTCCTGCCCAAAAATAGCCCTGCGCCATCATCACACCCTAGACCTCTGTTGCTACCTGGCCCGAGGTGAGCTCCAGAGGTACTGGCAGTGGTGTCGGAGCTCAACATGCTCCTAGCAGGGAAGGAGCAGAGCCTCTGCAGCACAGCAGGTTATGTGGATCTGGCAAAATATTTCTAGTTTGCTCTGCCCACCTTCCAAGGTTTTCTGAGCATCTAAGAGGGCACGATGCTGGGCATATATCCAGAATGGGCATCTCTCACTTTCTCTCATTTTATTAATTTTATAAACAAAATAAAAATTTACAACAATCCAATAACTGTAATACGAAGATTTTCCAACAATATAGGAAAAACCATAATACAAGAACTGCCAGTATGCATTAACAACATAACACAATAAACATTTTACATTATAACTCATTACCTCTATTCTATTAAATAAATAGACCTCCCTTTAATAGAAAACAAAACTCTTGTACTTTTGTGGTAATCGATACTGATTCGTTTGGTGTGCCGTCACATATTCAAAAAAAGCAAACCGTTTTTCTAGAAAGGTATTTGGTAGTTTACTATTGTCCATAACTACCAATGGTGTCGCTATTTTGTCTTCCATTGTGTCAAGGTAGGAACCTTAGGAAGTTTCCAGCAGCTGCAGGGAGTCCCGATACAGTAAGGGGAAAGGGAATCAATTCTTCCTCTACGTGGGTTTTCCTGTCCTCAAACAGCCCCCTTAGAGCTGCTGTTTATCTCATTGGAGGAAACATACAGACAATCCATGTGTTTGGGGGTGAACAGGAACCAAAGGGGGCCATTTGAGGTCAGGGAAACCCACAAAGGGGTGTGTGTGTGTTTAAAACCGCTGTTCTCCTGTGCTCCAGATACGACTCCCGGGCCTTTGGTTGCTATACAATGCGTTATGTAACTTGTTTTCAGAGGATGCTGAGGCTGAGCATGGGTGGCAGGGAGGGCACAGGGAATCTTCGCCGCCTGAGAGGCTGTGCCTTACTTGGGAGGGCATTAGAAGAGGCTGCCTGCCGCACACACCTCGTCAATCCCCCTCCTCAGTTATTCCGCATCATCCCCAAGGCCTCCCTCCAGGCAGGTCAAGGAGAAGACTTTTGTTTCAGTGCAGCAGGAAAGGTTCCTGTCTTCTTTGTTCCTCCTGCGTAGGGCCATCAACACGTCCACCTCCCCCCCACACACACACGCCGCCTTTGCTTTGCTGCTGCCTTAGGGTTCTCCGCCTTTCTGCCTGTGCCCCCCCCCCCGTAAAAATCTTCTGAACATCTAAAAATAGCGAGGGAGATGCATCTTGCACCAGGAGAGTCAGACAAGAGTAGAAATTGCTTAAAAGCATGGAACGCCATTCCCGTGTTCTAATTATTCGTCAGGTTTTGCTATTTGTATGTGAGTTTAGAATTGGTTTCTGCCACATCGGCTTCCCGGAGTGATAAAGTACCCTTTTACCTTCTGGGCGTGTTGCTTTGTATGTAGCCGCCACTGTTGTAGTTTTGTCTGTCCAGTGTAGACAAGTCAACCAGGCTGCGGCTGGAGAAGGAAGATGAGAAGACTTTTTTAATTTGTAATTTTATTACATTTATACCCAGTCTTTCTCCCCAGTGTGGACCCGGAGCGACTTTCATAGTTCTCCTCTCCCCCACTTTGTCCTCACGACAACCCTGTGAGGTAGGTCAGGCTGAGAGTGTGTGACTCACCAAGGATCTCCCAGCAAGTTTCCACAACAAAGGGAGGAACCAAACCTGGGTCTCCCAGATCCTAGACCGAGACTCTAACCACCACACATGCTGCCTCTCTGATAACTGAAGCTTAACAGTTGCCAATTGCAAACAGCGTCACTGAGAGACACATGGAGATAGACATTACTGATCTCCCATGAGCATCGGAGGCAGGACTTCCTCAAAAGGGCCCTTCCCCCATCCCTTCAATATTCATTACATGCATTCTCCAAAATTCAGTTGCTGACTTAAGAACAGCAGTTCTCTTACAAAGGAATTTCAAACAGAGATTAGAAAGCAGAAAGAGAGACTGCTGAATTGCAACTGATAATGAAGCTCAAGACATCCTCCTGGACTGAATCGAGACCTAGGTTTCCTGTCTCATTACCAATGCTGATTTCTCCATGCTCGCTACCCCTCTGCATAGCACACCTTATCCAATCACGCCTGCTATTGTCATTCACCTGCTATTGTCATTCAGCATCTTAAAATCACTCTACTCTCCAAGATATAAGGACAGATGGACTCCCATTCTAGCTGTATCTGAAGAAGTGAGCAGTGACTCACAAAAGCTCTTACCCTGCCACAAATTTTGTTAGTCTTTAAGGTGCTACTGGACTCTTGACTCAATTCCTCAGCAGTTCTCAGACTTCAGCATTCCCAGGTTTTACCATTTTTTTTTCGTGGACTCCCCCCCCCAAGCCCTCCCCCCATCACCAACAGAACAGGAGGGGAAGGGGGTTTACAGCCACTCTTTTCTCTTCCACTGTGCTTCAATCAGCTGGTTGTCCAGGTGGTGGCAGAGAGATCGTGTCCTTGTGCACCTCCCAGCCATTTTCATAGTGTGTGCAATAGCATGCCTATGAAGGCCTCTCCTCTCATGAGGTGTTTGGGCCCTTACCAGAGGTAAGGCTGTCTTGGTGACCATCCAATTATACCAAACATTTCTTCCCAACCGTCATCATTGTCTGCCACTTCTCCTCGCGTTCCCTTACCTGGTGTGGCGTGGTGAGGAGGACAGCTCTGTGCTGTTGATGGACTCCTTCACAAAGAGGAAGTTTTTGCTGTGGAAGAGCAGAAACAGACGGCTGCTGTTACAGAAGTGGGTGTAGGAGTCATTGTATTCCTATGGTGTAGGGGGTCATTGTATTCTTTATATGCGAGGGTGGGAATGGGAAGGACTTTCTGCGGCAAAGTGTATGACAAGACTCTTTAGACGCCTGAGGGCCAAGCGACACACCACACCTGAGTTCAGTGACTGAGACCCCAGAGGGGTAATTTGGTCATTAAAAGCAGCCATGAGGGGGTAATGTGGATGAGGGCTGTGCCAGAGAGGGAAGGGGAAGTGTTCACTTTCCCACGCTGTTCCCAGCACAACCGACCAGCCAAAATTGCTCCCCCTAGATGTTTAAGCCACAAGGAGCTGCGGTGGCTCAAGTGGTTAAGACGCTGAACTGCAGGCTGTGGAAGGTCGGTAGTTCAGCAGTTCGAGACCCGAGTGTGCCGCATGACGGAGTGAGCTCCCGTCTCTAGTTCCAGCTCCTGCCAACCTAGCAGTTCGAAAGCAAGAAATTGCAAGTAGATAAATAGGTACCACTTCGGTGGGAAGGTAACAGCGTTCCGTGCGCCTTGGTGTTTAGTCATGCCGGCCACATGACCACGGAAACGTCTTCGGACAGCGCTGGCTCTTCGGCTTTGGAACGGAGATGAGCACCGCAACCCTAGAGTCGGACTCGACTGGCTTTCGAGCAAGGGAACCTTTACCTTACCCTTTTCCTTTTTTGGACACTTTTTTTGAGTCACTGCTCACTTCTTCAGATACAGCTAGAATGGGAGTCCATCTGTCCTTCTAATTGGAGAGTGGAGTGATTTTAGATGCCGAATAACAATAGCAGGTGTGACTGGATAAGGTGTGATATGCAGAGGGGTAGTAAGCAGTGTCATGGTTGAAATGGCACAGAGGGGAAATCCCTCCCTTCCCCAGCACTGTGACCATATCAGACTTCCCCTGCATTTGCTTTTTATACACCAGGACTTCCAGCCGAAGAGCTCCGGCACCCAGGGCCGGTTCCAGGTTTCAGGGGAGCACAGAGTGCCCGGGGGCCCACTAGGCCCGCTACTAGGCCCCCCTTCTCACCCACCCACCTGTATGCCACCAGCCTGTGCCCACTCACCAGCTCTCCCACCGCCTGCAATCACAGCGGCCCACAGTGCCTGCACTCCCTTTACCCCGAGGGTGCTGGGCAGAGGGTGCAGCTAGGAGTGCCACTGCTGTGGCCACCAGGAAGGGTGCACCGCCCACATGCCCTCCTCCAGTAGGGTTGCCAGCCTCCAGGTGGAGGCTTTTACAACTGATCTCCAGCCGACAGAGATCAACTCCCCTGGAGAAAACGGCGGCTTTGAAGGGTGGATTCTGGCACTGTACCCTGCTGAGGCCCCTCCCCTCCCCAAGCCCCGCCCCCTCCTGGATCCACCCCCCCCCCCAAGTCTCCAGGTATTTTCCAACAGAGACCTGGAAACCCCGTTCTCCAGCAGTGCTAGGCAGCATATGCAGCTGGGGAGCACAGTTGACAGAACGCACAAGAGCAGGCAGGGGAAAGGCATGAGCAAAGGCATCAGAGGAGATGTGCCAGCGGGGAGTCAGCAGCTGTGGGCCCCGCCAGGAGTCCTCGGCCCTGGCAGCACCCCACATGATCTGGCCCTAAGGGAGACTACAGACAAGCAGGAGCTACATACTTGTCTCGTAAGAGCTTAGCGCATGGCAAGCTGCAGCGGCGCAGGCGGGCAGTCCCCTGAACTATCACTGTTTAAGCCCAGCATGAATTCCCGGGCAGTGCGATGACCTGTGCATTGACACGCCTAACCACAGTCTAGAGGAAGAGCCCTTCCCTCCTGCACTCCTCACCCTGCTGTGGTGGGATCCGAGTCGTAGCCAGAAGCCGAGGGATTCCTGAACTGAGTGGAAGTGGTTGAGAAGCTGGAGGTGAAGGCAGCTCTGTCCTCTGGCCGGGGCAGATATCTGGCGAGAGAGAGGAGACTGCGTGAACAGGCCTGTTAACATGCAGACATTCAGACTTAATTGTCATTCTTGCAGTGTACCTTTTATTTATTTTATTCCCTTCGTTTATACCACGCTTTCCTCCCCACCGGGGACCCAAAGTGGCTTACGACCTTCCCCCCTCTTCCATTTTAAACTGTTCTGCCATCGGTACCCCTTCTTTATGGACCATGCCGGACCCTTTACGGATGCTCTAGAAAGAGGGGTACGCAACAATGACAGAGCACTCAAAAGCGACAGACACAGTGGAGACAGGAGCTAAGCCACCTACACAGGAGAATCAGTTTGGTTTCTGCAGCCATTAATATCAGTTGCTCTTCTTGCGTGACAGATTTGCAAGTCTTCGCCAGAGCTATTCAGAGCGGAGAACTCAAAACTCTGGAACGCTCCCCGCAGAGAGATGCCTCCGTCCCCTTCTGCTGCCATCTTCTGCCAGCGGGTGAAGAGCTTTTTTGTTTCGTTTGGTGCCCCCCTCAGCAATCTCTCCTTCTTGACCAATGTTTTAATTGTTTTTTGTGTGTGTCTTTGGATGTATTTTTGCTCTATTTTTAATTGTTTCAACGATACGTGTGTGTACATACACATTTATTATGGTCATAGACCAACAATCAGCACAATAGGAGGCAGATAACCCATAAAAGAACAGTAAAATTATAAACTATAATAGCATCTAACATTATATTTTTTGTTTCGTTTGGTGCCCCCCTCAGCGGTCTCTCCTTCTTGACCAATGTTTTAATTGGTTTTTTTAATCCCACAACAGACACCCTGCGAGGTAGGTGGGGCTGAGAGAGCTCTGACAGAAACTGCTCTTTTTCAAGAATAGCTGTGCCAGAACTACGGCTTGCCCAAGGTCATCCAGCCAGGTGCAAGTGGAGGAGTGGGGAATCAAACCCGGTTCTCCCAGATTAGAGTCCGCGCACTTAGGAATCCAAAAATTTTAAAATACAGAAATGGTAAAACTAATATTAAAATCAGAAATTTAAAATAAATCTAGGCCTATCTGTACTTCTTTATCTCTTACGATGTATGTGTGTGTTTGGGTGGGGGGTTAGTTTTAATGGTTTTAAAACATGATTTCATTATGTCTGTTTTAATTCCGTTAGCCACCTTGGTGGCCCTTGTGAGAGCAGAAAAGCAGGATATCCAGAGGTGCTGAACTCATTTGTTATGAGGGCCGGATCTGACATAAATGTCATTTTGTTGGGCTGGGTCATGTGTGCCATCAAATGTAAGGCCAGGTACCGGAGATACTTTGCCACTGACCATGACCCATACCCCTCCTCAGCAGAGCTCGGGGCCAAACTGGCTCTGCTTGTCCCTTATGGTTGCCAACTCTGGGTTGGGCAATCCCTGGAGGGCCTGCTGCAGTGTTCCCTCTAAGTTGAATTAGTGTCAATTAGCTCACAGTCTTTTAGCCTCTGGCTCACACATTTTTGTCTCAGCTCAGGAAGGGTGGCTCCAGAGCAAACTAATTTATGCAGCAGCCAAATCGCTCACTCACAACTTTAATGCTGGTAGCTCACAA